TTTAAATGATTAGTATCTTGATAACTATTGTGAAGATTGCAAAATGGTAGAAGATTTTTTTGTTCAGTTTGGTCCACACCTCCCCACAAGCGCTGTATATACCATTGAGTACAAGATACCCTGTATATATATGTATATTTATATATATATGTATAGATAGTGTATTATTAATCTTAATAGATGTGTATATATGGGAGTGACATAATATAATAGTAACTATTATATTTTTTTCTTTTCAGTGATAACTATCTGGTAAGGGTCCATGCCCAGGTAATGACAAGAGATGATAGTTCTGGTGGTTGGGTTCCTTTAAGCGGAGGTGGATTGGCAAACGTCTCGGTCAGACGCAGAGCTATTCCCTCAGGAATACATCAAATAAATAGTGGAACTACTGTTTCTACTACGACCAATACGCATTCCGTCTCCAATGCAGCAGTTGGTCTTCAAAGTCATGGATCTTCTATCTCACCATCTGGAGCAAAAAGAAAATATGAATATCTCATTCATGGAACACGCATTACTGATCAGTCGGTAAATCTTTCCCGCAATTTTATAAATATTTTATTTGAATATTTATTTCAGGAAAATGTCTAAACATTATAAGAGATGTATTTAATATAATTTAATATAATTTAAATCATAGTATGCGTGAACACATTAAAAATATATTCATTCCACGTGATTTTTTTTAATAAAAATAAATTTTTTTAGGTTGTTCTTAGTTGTACAATTAAAAAGGACTTTGAATATAACAAGGTAATGCCAACTTTTCATCACTGGCGAACAGGGGAAAAGAAGTTTGGTTTAACATTTCAAACAGCTGCTGATGCAAGAGCTTTTGACAAAGGTGTCCGAACAGCAGTTGAAGAATTATTAGAAGGTACAGCCTTTTCCTAAATAAAATTTAAAAAATTAGAATTCACAAAAATAATGTTAATATTAGAAAATTGCATCCAAAATTACATCAGTGCTAAATTTTTAAGTTACAGTATCAATAACTTTGTTTTTTCTATATTTCACTTCTTTTTTCATTTTTTAAGATCTCAATATATATTTATCTAATTTTAAATAAAGAAGAAAGAATATATACATAATAAAAAAAACTTGTGTTATATAGTATATACATTGAGATTTTTCTATGACAGAAAAAATAAGACCAATATGTTTTTTACCATTTTTTCTTTGTGACTATATGGACAATTCTTTTATCCGTTATTTTTAATATTAGTCAAAGTCATCTATATTATTAGAGTAATTTCATGATAAATATACAAGTCTTTTATGATGTCATTAACTCATTTGCACTAATTATTTTGCTGCAATTTATTATGGATTGCGCAAATGGTAAGTTTAATAGCTTTAAATTCGTATTTTATTACTTCTTGTTTTTTATGTAATTTATTGTGAAATTTTATGTTTTAATGTGATAGGTCTGTCTGATTTAACGTTGGCAACCAATATTCCAGACAGTAGAGATGAAGATATTTTTATGGTAAAAAAATTTACTATTTCTATCTATATATCAATCTCTTTTATTAATTTTAATTGAGACAAAGAATATTATAAGATAATTATAAAAAATAAAAGTTATAGTAAAATAAATCAAAAAAGAAAAAAATAGAGCAACAAAGTTTTTATTGAAATTATTAAACTTTACAGACTTTGGATTTGCCAGTAGAACCATCTGAACCACGTTCGTCTTTGGATACATCTCATGGAATTCGAGTGTCCAATTATTCTCAATACTCGGAATTTCCTGATTCGCACCGATCTATTCATTACATTGGTGGTTCTTCAACCATTAAAATTCCATCATCACAACATCCTCTGGCTTCTGCTACAGATATTGGATCAGATAATTATCCTTATGTGCAGCTTACAACACTTAATCATGAATATCTGTATCCTATCATTGACGATCACAAGAGTGAAAGATTAGATGGACACAATACTTCTAATAGTGGAAGCTCTCTGAAGAAGCCAGACACAATAATATCACAACCTTCGAAAAATACTATGAAACGTAATGTGCGTTTACGTTGTAAGCATTGTCAAGAACTATATTCGGAGCAACATAATCCAAAAGGTTCCTGCGAATATGCTCCTGATCCAATTAGGCGTGGAATTGCAACAGTTTCTTGTTTGTCATGTGCCCAATGTATGTTATATCACTGCATGAGTGATGCTGAAGGTGATTTTGCAGAAAATCCTTGTAGGTAAGTATAATGTGACTGTAGGGCCAGATATATCTTTTTAACTCTTATTGTATTATTTTATATATTTAATTAACATTTTTACTTATATTATTATTTTCTCCAACTGTCCATTTTGTATTATTTTGTATTATAAAAGTTTGTATTTTTTAAGAATTTATTGCATTTTAAATTTATTACAAAGATGTCTAAAAAGTAGATAAGTTTTTTTTTTAAGGATATCTTTAGATATATACTACTTTATAAACTATATGTTAGTATCTATTATTAAAAATTTTTTATAATATATGCATTTCTGAAAGATTTAGTCAATTAATGCTATGTACAACATTCGAGTAAATTACAAAATATCAAATCAGTTGTAGTACAGAAGAAGGATGCGGACGCAGATGGCTTGGTTTGGCCTTGTTGTCACTGATCGTTCCTTGCTTGTGGACATATCCTCCACTTAAAGCTGTACATTGGTGTGGAATGTCTTGTGGAATGTGCGGCGGACGTCACCACCCTATGGAATAATAATCCTATGTCTGATCCATATTCGATTATTTTATTTAGAAAACATTTTTTGTTTTAGAATTGTACAGGGAATAGACAAAATAATGTGAACATTTGGCAAATATACTACTTATTTTATTAATAAAAGAGTTTGACTATTTGTTTTAAGATACACAGATTCTATCCTTGTTGGAATAGACTCATACAATGCTTGAATAGTCACTAGTACAATGTTATATCATTCTAAGTAGCAAAACATCTTTAAATTGTTTAAGAAATATTAGAAAAGGAAATCTGATATTTTGTAGCTCAAAACTGCTTTCAATAACTCTATTTAAATCAAACGATTGCACTGGCTAGGGAAGATATTGAAATTTTGAAGAACAGAAGGCAATTTTGAAATACAGAATGAGAAACAAATTTTTTCCTCCAATATTATTTATAAAAACCAAAGATAGATGTTCTGCTAAAAGAAAGCACATTTCCATTAGTGATTATTCAAGCAGCATGACAATGTATTCCAACAAAGAATGGCAAGACAATTGAACCTATTAAAGGCAAATGACGGTTAACTTCTTATTAATAAAACAAATACTATATTTACCACATGTTCATTTTGTCTATCCCTGTATTCCTGTAAAAACATCTTCATATAAAATTGATTAAAGGAAGAAAAATTACTATCAAACAGTAATACATTCAGCAATTTGAATATTTTATTTTGAATCGTAAATTTTAATGATATTGTCATAAATGATAATAATATGCTTGACTACTATGTTATAACGAAAAATGTACAATATACATATATACATACATACATATGTGTAGATATGGGTACGAGTGAGTAGGTAAATAGGTGTATGAACGTGGAAAGGTATATGCATGTGTATGTATGAGAAATATAGTATTTCGAAAACTAGAAAAGTTATATATATTTGAGATTATAGTGTTTATTTCATGAAATTATTTAAAAATTATTAATTTAAAATATTCTTAATTAAGTCGCAATACAATCTCGATTATTTATATTATTAAAGTTATATTATAAACATACATCACAATTACTAAAAAATGACTTTGAAAGTTTTATTAAAAAGTTCGAAAGTGTGCAATCACTGTTTTAATATTTATTATGAAAATTATACCTGCAACTTGCAATTGAGAATTATATAAATATTATCTTTATTTTCCAATTATATATTGTATCGTTGTGTAAATTATAGTTTTTAGAGCCATTGTACTAACATTTGAAAATATTTTTTAAATCTTTTAAATTATATTAAAAAACTAATGTATTTTAGAAGTGTATAAAAAGCAACATTCTACATATAGATTAATTTATATTAATAATTTATAGCAGAATGAATTAGACATGTTTTAAGATTTTTTGTAAATAAATTTGTTATAATTTTGCAGTTATTTCTTAATATTATTGCTTTAAAGAAACATTAAAATGTTTAATGCTAAATTGTTAAAGACTGAAATAGCAGCTATAATGGATAAATGACAAAATGTATGTAGAAGCTTTTCAATCTGTAAATTTTTCATAACCATAATTGTGCTTTTCGTTAACTTAACTATCAATTATTACATTTTTTCAAAATTATTGGATATTTACTTTTTTATATTATTTATTATCTTTTATAATAATTGGATGTATAATATTAATAAATAATAAAAATAATGGCAAAACTTTAAACTTAAATCTAAAAAAATTAAATATGGAAATGTAATAAAAAATATAATAGATAATAATTTTTCTAAAATGAAATAAACAATGTGTACGTATAATCACATGCTTGCATGCGTCTATGTGTGAATGATACATAGATTATACGTAATCTAATGTAAATATAACATTTAAAATCAATTTTTGTAAAAAATTCAAATAATGAAAAACAGGAATCTAAACATACATATTATTAAGTTGAAAGTTCAATAATATACATTATACATATTTGTTATTGGTATATTTTTGTAACTTTTGTGAATCTTTAATTAAAACCTTTTGATTTTTTAATTAATATATTTATTTTCATTCTATTAATTTTTTATTTATAACTTTTATTATGTATTGTTCCTGTTAAAACTGAAGACTCCACTGAAAATATTTGGTTAAAACTAAGAAATTTTTTTAATTTCACGAAATAATATCCGAATAGAAGTATCCTAATAACTTATAACAAATTTTTTTTCATATTCTGAATATCAATTTATTGAAGATTTTACATTAAATTCTTATCAATAATGCATTTATCAATCTAACAAAAAACAAAATAAAAGAATTCAGAAAATCTAAAAAATTTTAAAAATTTCTTTTAAAAGTAAAATTAACTACAGTAATGAATAAAAAATGTAAGCAATATAAATTTTTATGCGAAATATCACAAAACGTGCATAAATAAAAAGTCATACTTATTTTCCACAAGAAGATTTTATATATATTGTTTTATAGTAAATAATAATTCTCTGTTACTTTAAATATGATTTTAGATCATAAAATCTTCAATTTTTAGCATATCTTGTATATTTACACATATATTAATAAAATAAGTACACATCAGTAATAAATTCAATTTTCATCTGCAAAAATAGGTAAATCTATTTTTGGTAATCTAATAATTATAATTGTTACAGTTTCGATCATACTTTTATGGAATACTTCGTACATCTTTGATCAATTGATCTGAATGTTTTTCAATTCCGTTTTTAATTAATTTTTACTTTTAAGTATATATGTCTATTTTTATAGCTTATTATTTAATTTTTCATTTATATATTTTACTTTTGTAAATTACTTCGTTATTTTTTGAACATATTTACGAAATATACACATTTGGTTTAAATTATTTTATTTATCAATATCAATAGTACAGTTAGTATTTGTAAAATACTTCTGAATAAAATATTACGTTTCTCAAAAATATCAATAAATTAAGATCAGGACACAGTAGTGTCTCGGGCTCAAATCAATCAACTGATTTCCAAGACGGAACTGTTAATTAACATTTATAATCAATTGCAGAAATATATTTATTTTAGAAATGTAACTGGAAAAATTATTTTACAATAAAATTTAGTTTTTTAATATTCTATATAAACCGAAAATTGTCAGAGAAAATGGTCAGAAAAACTATTTAATCAGAAAATAAAATGTTCAGTGGAGTTTTCTTTATGATATATTAAAATTTGCACTTTCAGTTAAAAATAATTGATAACAAATTGATTTATTGACTGGTTTCATAATTATCATAGCTGATAGAATTTAAAAAACTTAAATATATTTTATGTGAGGAATATAACTCCACACTCTTTGAATGATAATATTTCGTCTTTTTTGCACAATATGTTTGCCTATAATTTATTAGATTTACATACATAAAACGACATTATAAAATAAACATTTAATGAAACATTTTCAATTATAATATTTGAAATCAGTATGAATCAGTATTTTATTTTTATTCTATATAAGAAACAATAATAAATGAATTTTTTATTTAATATATGAAATTAAATTTACAAATACATACATAGCAAAATCTTAAAATAACTTTAAGTCAGTCAAGTGAATCTCATAATTATATAATTAATCATAATAATTAATATATAAATTATAGATTTTTTTAAAAATGTATATTCTTATATTCAGTAAATGTATTATTATTTTATGAACACGTTGATGCAGTTATTACTAATTATTGAATTTTATTATTTATTTTTGCAATTATAAGCAATTAAGGATTTCAAAAAATATTCCTAGAAATGAATAACTTAACAATCATATAACCTATTTATTTAAATTATTTAAATAAATCATTTAAAACACAGTTTAGAACTAAATATTCTTCAATTAAAATATGTCTGATATATAATATACAGTTACTAATTTAAATGTATTTTACATCTGAAATATAATTAGTTAATATAATTATCTCAAAATAATTTCTATAAATTATGAACATATAAAAAGAAATTAGCAAAAAAATTTAAAATTATAAGGTTGATTTTTTATTTTAAATTTGAAATGTTCATAAGTTTTTTATCATAAAGATAAAACTTTTGGATTAATTAAATTTAGTTAATTGTTATTTACGTAACTGATGTATAATAATATATATATATATATATATATATATATATATATTGCTATAAAGAAATATAAATATAATAACGCGCGCGCGCGCTCGCGCGTGTGTGTGCGTGTGTGTGTGTGTTGTGTGTGCGTGCGTGTGCGTGTGTGT